AAGATCAAGTAAAAAACACATGTCGAAGCAATTTCTCCCTGTTTCTTCTGATTAAAATCAATAGTTTTCCTGCTCTTAACAGTAGTAAAAATCAACACAATAGTTTCTGTTAACTCAGTAGAATGTCAAGTGATATCTCTGTGTATTTTTATCAGCAGGGATATCAACAGAAGACTACCAACAGCCTATAATCATTGCTGGTTTTATTATCTGCGAAATGTCATATGTGCATATGGCATTTCACAAAACATCACAGTGAAAACAAGGCTCCTGCCTCAAATAGTTTAGAGTTTATTTAGACAAAGAACTAAAGAATAGGGAGGCAAAACTTAAGAGGAAGGCCTGCTGTTGCTGAGAAAAGAATATAATTGATCTAAGTGATTAAGGCAGGATAATAAGTCCCATTCCTATTTCCATGGCTGTGTAGCTTGATTCTGCTCTTTGAATTACAAACAGCAGCCATAATCCTAACTGACTTCTCCAAAACATTGCTCCCTGTTGTTCATGGGGAAAACAGCTCAGAACATATCCATCAGCATGTTAGAAATACCAAGGAACATAGATGCCACATCCCACCAATTGTTGCTAGCAACGTCTTGTAATATTTTATTATTTAAAGAAATTGACTTTCCCCCTGCAAAAAACCATGAAAACTATGTTGTACTTAGCCTAATAGTGAATTTCTAAGTCTATATAACTTAAAACATCTAATGTAGAATGTTTGTAATGAGGGTTGCAAACTGAGCTGTTTATTAGGGCAAGGAAAACAATAAAAAGTGAAGCAGGGAGGATATGTGTATGTTGGAGAAGGCGGTGATGGAGCACGTGACAAAAGTGCTGCATATTCTCCATCTAAAAAGGACAACTGCCTCTCAAAAAGAGCAGGTCGATGTCATGAGGAAGTACAGGCCCAATGCTGCCAGACCTTCCAGTTATCCAAAAGAAGCCAGAGATCCAAAATATGTATGTCCAATTTCCTAAGGTTTAACTTGCTCAATTAAAATAATATATTATTTCAGCAAAATGAAATATATCTATGAGCAAAATTCAGCCCTCTGAAAAAGATCTGGCCCCAAAAAAGAATCAGATGACTCTGTTTTAAAAAATGCTGTACTTCAATTTAGCAAGTACCCATGTTACTTTCTCACCTTACGAAAATGTTACTGCGTGTTGTGGCACAAGAATATTTATAATACATACCAATAATGCACAATTACCCTGTTCATTGAAAATGTAGGAGAAATAGTCATTGGAGGTACTTCTGTTGAGAAGGCAAGAGGATTAAGATTTACCCAAGAGTGGAGAGCTTTGCCCCTGAGAGGAGGATGGATAGTGCATCCGCATTTAGTGGAAGGTTTAGTGGCAGGGTTTGTAAGCACAGATGTGCTTATGGTGTAGATGGAGATTGTGGGAATTCCTGTAGAACTGCTTCTGATTTCTCAGTGAAATGTGAACTTGCATTGAGAGCAAGGACAGAGAAGTAGTTGTTGGAGTGATTATAATAGTGTGTGATTAACAACCCTATTTTATTCAGAAAGAACAAGTATCATTAGGTATATGACTTAAAACTACTTTTGTTCTCTTACTGAGGATTGAATTTTGTGGATTTCTGGTAGGCAGTTTAGGTTAAATCGATTTAGCTTTTGGTCAGATGTTTATGTCTATGAACCATCTTTTGTAGAAAATGTCACTCTTTATTGTATTCTATGATTTGAGCCATGTTAGATGATTCTGACAACATAACGGAGAAATAAGCAAAATGTACATGTGGTTATGTGAAATGTGGGTAGAAGAATCTGTACTTATTAAGCATACAAATATGTTTAAAATTCACAAACCTTCATGTGGCTGACAGTAGGCAAAAGCATGGCATTTGAAATTGTGTCTTTATTGCCTTCTGAGGGCATGGGATGATTGGCACATCGTAACCTACTTATGACTGTGATACTGAACCAGTTATTCACATAAATTTATTTTTTTCATGTTTGGGGCTTAGATAATTGGATTAAATTGTAGCAAAATAAATGAGGCCTGCTATATGCTTCCTTGGATGGATGAGGAGATAAGCCATTCTGGCCAAATGCCTATATTTTTAAAAATGTCATTATGTGTATAATTCTTTAAAAAGCAAGCAAAATATCCTGTTTTAAAATAAATAAAGTAACAGATAATAATTAGACTCCATGGCTTTTGATTTCCTCAGCTTTAATATAGAAGTCAAGTTAAGGTTGTACTAATTGACTTCTATAGACCCTTCCAATTATAACATTTTATGATCTCTAAAAGTAGTTTCAGGGGTGAGCCATCTGTAGTTGAGTTATTAACCTGGACAATACCATATACGAGTTTTCCAACGTGTCTTTTTTTTTTTTTTTCCTCCAAGAAAGCATTTCCTCTGTTCCTTTTGAGATAATTATGCTTTTTTACTTCAAGTTGTTAAGGTGGCTCAAATGGAATGGGGGAGTTATTTCAAACCTCATTTTTAAATGGCAGGAGTCTTGAGGCAAAACTTCCATAAAATTTATTAAAATCAAAATTTCCAAAACCCATCTTCTAAGCTTACAATTCGGTGGTTTGAGATTTGGCCTGGGAATCTGCATTTTAGTAAACAGGTAGTTCTGAGGTGGGTGGCCAAACAAAACAAAACAAAAACAAAAACAAAAAAAACCACACACATTAAAACCCTGTCCCTGAAATCCCAGCACTTTGGGAGGGTGAGGCAGGCGGATCATCTGAGGTTGAGAATTTGAGACCAGCCTGACTAACCTGGAGAAACCCTGTGTCTACTAAAAATACAAAATTAGCCAGGCTTGCTGGTGCATGACTGTAATCCAGCTACTTGGGAGGCTGAGGCAGGAGAATCACTTGAACCCAAGAGGCAAATGTTGTGGTGAGCCAAGATTGTGCCACTGCACTCCAGCCTGGGCCACAAGAGCAAAACTCTGTCTCAAACAAACAAACAAACAAATGAGCAACCCTGTCCTAGTTAATATATAGAATTTTTGTAGCTATGTATATTTGCCTGATTTAGTAATATTGGACATGAGGACCCAATTCCTATGATGTTTAGCTGAAAAGTCAAAAGATACTGAAAATTAACAAAGAAACAGAAAATAAAGGGGAATATGGCAATCTTTCCAGTTTGCTAAACCTGGAAGAAAGTTGCGCTGGGAGAAGGTTGAAAGATGTTGCAATAAAAGTTGTCATATGTAAATTTCATTCAAATATAATATATAGCCTTTGGTGTGAATTGAGAGGCACCAAAATATTGAGCTCCAGAAAGTGACACATCATATCATGACTTTAAAAAAAACCCAAAAAACAGATTAGCTTTGTCTCTGTTAGTGACTCCAGACCCATACAAGACAACAGCTACTGAAAATATGGTTCTTAAATTTGTAAAATATTATAGTTCTGTATATCAGAATATCCATTCTGAAATCTGTGTTGAATCCAGAAACCTATCATGTTGGAAGTTATTGGAAATCAAGAATCCTGTTGAATGATGCTGCGAAGTTGCCTCCCTCTCTTCTTCCCTTTCTGACTCCCTCCCTTCTCCCATCTCTCATTCTCTTTCTTTTTCACCTGGTAGTGTTTCTTCACATTTAGTTATTGTGTATGTATTCTACAGTTAAGAGGAAAGCCTTACTCATTTTTTGTCTTTAAAAAGTTGCTTTTATATTTTTTTAAATTACAACTTCCATAAAGGTAAGAGCTGTGACAAATACTGTACTTATAAACCCTTACTATTTTTTACTGTAATGGACAATATTAGAATTGGAACCAATACTTTAATGAGCTTTCTGCAGTTTCTTTCTTTTCTTTTCTTTTTTTTTTTTTCTGAGACAGAGTCTTGCTCTTGTCTCCCAGGCTGGAGTACAATGGTACAATCTCGGCTCACTGCAACCTCTGCCTCTCAGGTTCAAGCGATTCTCCTGACAAAGCTTTCTGAGTTGCTGGGATTACAGGCGCCCACTCCATACGCAGTTAAGTTTTGTATTTGTAGTAGAGACAGGGTTTCACCATGTTGCCCAGACTGGTTTTGAACTCCTGACCTCAAGTAATCCACCCACCTCAGCCTCCCAAAGTGCTGGGATTAAAGTGCATGAGCCACCACACTTGGCCTCTGCTGTTTTTTTTCTTGAAGTGTATTTCTCATTCTCTTGCTAGGGGTAGAATTCTACTAGTTCTTGGAGACTTGGTGAAATCCTTACTTCTTTAGGATCACTACCCTGCAGCCTCCTCATTCCCCTAAGTTAATTGCCTTGTCCATACTACTTATTAGCATATGAGCTCCTTAAATAGGATGACCATATAATTTAATTTGTTTGAGTTACTTTTCCTGGCATAACTATTAATGGACCACCCTTTCACTCTCTAAAGTGTTACGATTTGGACAATAGATGATGCACCCTATGATGTCTTTTTATCTCTAGTATTTAGCCAGTTACCCGGTATGTAAAGGTTTAATCAAATTTTGTCAATGAGTTGTAATTGAATGTATTATTTGATGGCTGGAAGGACAGTTGAAGTTCTGGCAGAGGCCTTTGGGTATTTTATAGATATTACTATTAATAGGTATTACTGTTTTAAGACAGCCAGACTGAGAGCCCAAAAAGTTATTAGTGACTCTGAAAAAGGCAGAGAGATATAACCTAGCCTAGCCTTTGAGGATTTGGCTGTAACCTAGCCCCCATTGGTTTCTAAATGCTGATCTAGAAAATGTCCAAAGGAAAGTAAACATTTTTGAAGACATGTTTATTGTTTCTCGGCAAAAAAAAAAAAAAAAAAATTAATGCCCACATAGTGAATTACAATTTAATTTATTGTATTTATTGGATTGTTCTTTAAGATTATATCTATTGGTAGACTATTGTTTGCATGTTAGAATTTTCTGTATTTTCTTAATTGATGATAATTACTTAAAACACTCTTTTTTATCAAAATAAGAACTTGGTAATCCCAAAGTCTGGCAAACATTGACTAAGAAAATGGGCCAGATACTTACCTGGCAGGGGAGATACCATGATCACAAAGGTAGTTTTACCAGGGCGCGGCTTATCCATTGCACTCCAGATGTGCTGACCCTTGCAATTTCCCCAAATGTGGAAAACTCGACTGCATAATTTGTGGTAGTGGGGGACTGCTGTCGAGCTTTCCCCTAAAAAAAAAAAAAAGTGGGCTGGAGATGGAGATGCTACCTGGACTCATAAGGTAAGAATAATGAAAGGACTCAAATCTGTCAATTATAGAAAGATGAGTACTTTTTCCTACTCGCTTCTGGGAAACGAGAGGGATAGTATCTGTTTTGTCCACTGCTTTATCCCAGGACTTACACAGTGCCTAGTACACAGTATTTAATAATTGTTTGTTATACAAATGAATGCATAGACTCCATGAGTAAACTCATCTCCTGAGAACATCTGAAGTGGCCCAGCCTGGCAAACAAATCAGCCACTGTTCCCTGTTGGGTGTCCAGCCTTCACTGTGAGCAGGTGTCAGTTACTACTACTCGTTCTTCTTTTGGCTAAAATTTTGGCTAAGCGTTCAATGTTTCTTTGTGTGGGCTATTGTAATGGTCTCTTTCAATTTTTAAGGTTCAAAAAATTGTGGTAAAAAATATATATATAACATTTATTATCGTAACCATTTTAAACATATAGATGGTGGCACTAAGTATGTTCATATCCTTGTGTTACCACAATGACCATCCAAACACGGAACGCTTCTGTTTTGTCCACTGCATTATCCCAGGATAAACTTGCAAAACTAAAACTGTGTGCCTTCATCTTGCAAGACTAAAACTGTGTACCTACTAAACAATAATTTCCCATTCCCTCCTCCTCCTCACCCCTGGAAACCTCTATTCTACTTGCTATCTCTATGAATTTGACTACTCTATGTACCTCATATAAGTGGAATCATATAGTATTTGTCCTTTGTGACTTACTAATTTCTTTTTTTTTTTTTTTCCCATTTATTTATTTTATTGTATTTT